TATATATATATTTTTTGGAGCTCACCAATTTCCCCTATCCTGGGCAGCGGGCAGTTTTATTCAATCAATCGCATTCTCATGCAATCTTCCACAAAGAGAATAGGGATAAAGGGGAGGGGACGGGATTTGGGATCCAGATGATTTAGACCCAGAAGTCTGTGTGGGGAATGGAGTGCGGCTGCCAAGTTGGTGAGTGGGATGAGGGTCTTCCAGATGTCGGCAGTAAGACTCGGTTACAAAGCACCGCTCTAATCAATGGGGAGACCTGCCTGAATTCTACCTAATGGGGCACGAGTCCATACATATATACACATAAGAGCCCAGCGAAGGCAGGGCTGAGAGCAGCAATACGTGGGGCTCCGGGGGTGCAGCTCACCTTTCACGAGCCAGGTGGCCGTGGCAGCTGAAACAGTGGCTTTTGCGTTCCCCACCCCTATGCCCAGCAAGACTGCCTGGGTGGCCAGGGAGCCGGAGAGGCTGGAAGCAAACGCCTGGAGAAGAAAACGAGTAGGGTGAGAAGCGGGCGCAGAAGCGTGGCGGTCTAAGTGCCGTCATCTGTTCTTGTTCTTGTTGTACGGGGCATGTCAGATCCCGCCCGCTCGGCTCCGGGCCTCAGTCACCCGTCCATAACTGGGGAGGGAGGGGTGGCCTGCACTGTCCCCTGCCCCAGACGACCGAGCTGACCTGCACGGAATCCCACAGTTGGTAGGGCAAATAGTCCGGGCTGACGCTATCAGGGAAGCCCTGCGGCAGGAACACGGCCTGGAGCCCGGAGAGGGGTGGTGAGGCGGCCCTGGGAGCCCCCACTTCGCCCGCATCTCGTCTTTCGGGTTTGACCGTGAAGGCCCTGGAGAGCCCCCACCAGCGCCAGCCCCCGACCTCCCACTGCAGGCTCCCATCCGCGGCGGCCCGGCAGCCCCGTGCCTCCCCAGACCCGAACTGCTCGGAACACAGTTGGGTCTCTAGGCCCACGTCGTCAGCCATGCCGAGCTTCTGGCTCCCAGTCCCTCCCCTGCCGCACGGTGAACGTGGCAGGTGGCACTTCCGGCTGGGCTACGGCGGCTGCGGAGGGACATCATTCACGAACAGGCGCCGGGAGTCCCCAGCTTAATTAGGAAACTGACGGTTGCTCTTACTGGCCTACGCGCCGCTTCCGACGCCCCGGCACCGGCCCGGCTCTGTTGCTTTGTAGCATTCTGCAGCTGGGCCGCAGGCGACGTGGGCCTCCGCCAGTTGTGTTGGAGACGCGGTTCGTCCACAGAAGTTTTAGCTGTGTGACTTTGGGCAAGTCAGTGGCCCTCTCTGGGCCTTAGGTGCCTTTTTTGCTGTGAGGCCGGCGACTGTATTTTTAACCCTGATTTTATCCCTAGATCTACCCAACACATAGTAGGTTCTCAAAAGATATTTATAAGTGAATGAATGCATCATGAGAAGAAATTGGACCAGATGAGGCCCTGTGAAGCTGCCTGAGTTTTTTGTTGTTGTTGTTGTTGTTCTCTTTTTTTTTTCTCTCTCTCTCTTCTGAGTGTCCCTGGCCTGAACTAGAAATTATCCATCCTTCGGCCTTCTGTGAGACTGCAGGAACATTACTTTTGAAGGATGCTAAGGAATTCGAGGGATGAAAAAAATCAAGGGATTGCAATGATGTCACAAAACAAGGAAACAAGGCGGGAAGTTCCTGTGTATTTTTGGGGAGGGAGAGTCCATGAAATTGGGGGGAGTCCAAAGAGGGAGTGTTTCTGTCCTTGAACTCACCTTTTCTTCTTTGCATTTCTCTTCTTCTCCTTCCCATCTAGCGCAACATATTCATTTCAAAGCATAAATTTGCCAACAAAGCACCCTCTTTTTATCAGAAAATAAAATATCCTGGTTTCTTAGCTTGGCATTCTTGGACCCGCACAGTTTGATCCCAACGACAACTCCTTACTTGAAACTTCAGATTCTCCCAAACTGTCACCTTCCTCGTGGACTTAACCCTGGAAGGCCCTTCTACCCCACTTCACCTTGTCTCACACTAACACAGTCTCTCTCAGACTGAGATAAACTTGAACACTTCTTTTCTTTTTTTTACATTTCGGGTTTCAAAATACAAATGGCCTAGTCACAACATTTCTGTAACGTTGTCTAAATTCAGGTACTGGTTTGAATAGAGGACAAAAATAAAACAAGGTTTGAAGACTAAGTACTCTTTAAAAACATATTTATTTAAATAGAGATAGGGCCTCCCTATTTTCCCCAGGCTGCTGTC